GAAAATGACAGTTTTGTGGTTCAGGCCATTTAAAAAAAAAAAAAAAAGTATAAAAAAAAGGTTTGCCGCTTCGCTGAGAAGAGTGCGGAGGGCAGGAAAGGCAAAGGCGTTCACCCGATTCCGTGGATCCATGCTTCCACTTTCATCCCTTCAAAGCCAACTCCACCCATTTTCAGTGCTGCGAGTTCCGGGGGGTAAGGGAAAGCACGAGCCGGGAATCTGATAATCACTCAGGGAGTCCGGTGTGGAATTCCAATCTGTGCGCAAGTTATCACTGAAATTGTCACAGATACATAAAAAATATAAAACAACAGACGGTCCTTTAAGAAGTAGTGTTCAACTTTAAATACAAGTGCTTGAAAGAATCAGAGACGAACCCCCAAACATTTGTTAATATAAAGGATTATACAGCGAGGACCCCGGCGCCAGGGGGGCGGGGTTAGTGTTATAAAACTGACCGGTCAGGGCACAGAGCTGGAGTGAAATATTCTGCAGAACTGATGATGTTAATACACAGATATTAGTACATTTATACATGGACTCAGAGAGAACGTTCACTGGTTTAAAGTAATGAGGGTTACAGAAATAATTTAGGAGGAAAAAAAGAAAATGCACATTCTTTGTTTGATATATCAGATGATTTTTTTTCTCCCAGATGTCTACATTGGAGTCCCATCACACCGACTTCAGACTCTACGAGTCCCTATACCCCCCTGGAAGGCCGTCCAGCTGGTGCAAGCTCAGTCCGGGTCCCAAAGGCCGAAGTTTGCCCTTGTATCGGTTTGCCTCTGGTGGGGGGAGGGGGGTCCTGTACGAAAAAAAACTGACTAAATATGTCATTAAAAACCATCTTGAAGTGTCGCTCTCGCTTCTGTATATATGCTTGGACTTTTAAATTGCCCCTCACCTTTGACACGTGAGAGAAACCTTACCGAAGCAAATCGGTGCCGGATGCCAATCACAACAGATCTATCTGTAGAAAATAAATCAAAGCCGCTGGACTTGCTGTATTTTTCTTGAAGACGTTTTTGCTGGTCATCAGACTAGCTTCAGAAGTTAGTCTGATGACCGGCGAAAAGTCTGAGAAAAATACAGCAGGTCCAGCGGCTTTGATGTATTTTTTACATATATATGATGACCCGGATGAATGAGAACCATCGCAGACATGACCGATCTAGCGCCTCCTATAGATGGGAGGGATGACGGCAGTCTGTAGGACCCGGACGGAGCACATCCTGGCTAAAGATCAGCGGTGTTGACTTTAATTCCACTCTATCCAGGGCCAACCAAGGCCCGGCCTCGGGGCAGCAGGGAGTAGAGGGGCAGCAGGGGTGTGGAAGCCTCAGTTTCCCGGTGTTTGTCTTCTGTGGCTGTAGCCCATCTGATTATTCAAGGTTGGATGTGCTCAGGGCTGGATTTCCCACAAGGCCAACTGAGCCCCGGCCTCGGGGCACATTGAGGAACCTGGGCTTGGGGCAGCAGAGACAGTAAATCCGGCCCTGACTCTATCCCCGGTGATTACGGTTTTGGTAACATTACAAACACTTTGTGCAAATTCATGTTAAGATTTACAGCAGAATTAGTTTCACTCCACTCTGTTAAAAAATTAAATATAAAAACATTTTTTTTAAAGACAAAAAAGTAACTTTTTTAATTATTTTTTTGACTTACCAAAAAAAGTTACTTTTATGTTTTAAAATTTTTTTTTTTAGATATTTAATTCTTAAAGACAAAACAGTAACTTTTTTTTGTAAGTCAAAATAATAATTAAAAAAAAACAAAACTTGATTTATTGCAAAAATAAGCCATCTTCGTTCTCCTGTCCTCTCTGAACGAGTACAGTACGTTACATTTGGATACTCTAGATATTTTATTTTTTCTACAAGGGCTGCTTAAAATTGCTGTACCGGTGTTTGTTTTTGTTTTAAATAGTGTTGTGGACTTAAAACAACAAAAAGAAAAAAACTAAAATGGGAAATCCTCCCGCCTCATCTCAGGCACATCCGAAGCATATATCATCATTTGGTTTTAAAACAGAAAGAAAAACAAAATTCCTTATAATAACGTAGAGAATTACATTCGTCCGTATGCATTTCCCTCAGGTAGTTAGAAAAAAAAAGGTTAACATTTAAAAACGTCTGTTTACATTCATACATTTTAAATGTATTTTGCTCGTAGTGCGCAAGCATTCCTTTTCCTTAAGAAAAAAACAAAACAGTTTGTTTTTTTAAAAGAGAAAAATCAGTGATTTGATTTTTTTTTTTTTTAAATTCCTTTATGAGAAGTGATCACAGACAGAGACTACTTTAAGTAGCTGTGGCACCGTGAACTGCGTCACTGCCGGATAACCGCGGCGCTGTGCGATTTGCTCTGCAAGGCAACAACGCGCGTTCTTCCCCAACAACATTATTTTTTTTTTTTTTAAAAGAAATATCCGTGTTCGCTGTTTGACACTTCAAATACGCACGCCATGCACAGTAGTGTGTCTTGTGTATCCCTGTTTGTTACCACCTGGAAATACAGGAGAGAGAAATGTTACACAATAGAAAATAATAGGGTCAGAAATTGTCCTTATTTAACCCTTTCGCTGCCAAGCCCTCCGGAATATTTTTCGAATCAGCTGGCCGAGCCATTTTTGAATTTTCTGCAATTTTTTCCTATATTTCAGTAAACTAATACAAATTTTATGGGAAGAAAAAATAAGCTTTTTCTGGACACAAGATGTCATCAGCCTTCCGGGATGAATGATGTTGGCCGTCATTCTGCTTCCTCTGAGCCCAGGCTGTCATGTCTGTAAGTCTGTAACCCACTACAGACTTAGATCATGCTACCCTGGGCTCAGAGTACTACATACATCCTTCATTTTGTGCATGAGCAGTAAGGAACCCCGAAGTCACTTCCCTTGGCTGCTCTGCCAGTTGCAGTCTTTCTCACGTCATGCAATGCAGGACCAGCAGTCCTACATTTAATGTATTTTTTTTTACTTTACTGATAGGGGCTTTGGGGAAATATCAGGGGTGGTCAATCTTGAGACGGTAAATGTTTACCATCAGCCCAGTCATGAATGGACAGGAAGTCTCTGTATTGAGCTGCTTCCTGTTCATTCATTAAGTGAGAAGATAGTAAACATATTTACTATCCCCATTCATAAATGAGCAGGTTAGCGCTTCTGCCTTACAGCACTGGGGGTCCCCGGCTCGAATCTGGGCCGGGTCACCATCTGCAAGGAGTTTGCATGTTCTCCCTGTGTGGGTTTCCTCCGGGTTATCCGGTTTCCTCCCACACTCCAAAGACATGCTGGAAGGTTAATTAGCTCCCTGTCTAAATTGGCCCTTGTATACTGTATATGTATGTGAGATAGGGACCTTAGATTGTGAGCTCCTCGAGGGCAGGGACTGATGTGAATGTGCAGTGTGGCGCTCTATATAAATGCCTTTAATAAATAAATTAACTAGGAACATAGTAATCGCTGTATCCTCAGTTATTTACTAACACCGAGTGATCAGTACCGACACACGGGTGTTGTGGGAGCAACCATAAGGTCTCGTTCACACCTAGGCGTATTGCATATGCGCGCCTGTCGCACGTTTTTTTTACCGCGATTTGCAGTAAAAAAGTCGCCCGACAAACGCGCGTTTCCGAAGGCTACTTGGCTGTATCCCAATGGAAACGCGCAACAAAACGGCCCAAAGTAGTACCTGGACCTTTTCAGGCGTGGGCCGTTTTGTAGCGCGTTAGGGACGGGCGGAAATACGCCAAGGTGGGAACGAGACCATTGAATACAATGGGATTTATATTTTTGAGCGTTTTATAGAGCGTTCGTCCAGCGTAGAACGCGCTACAAAACGTTCAGGTGTGAACGAGGGCTTAGAGAGGAAGGAGCAGCGAGGGGTGCTGGAGAGGCAAGTATTAGTAGGGTGTTGGGGGGAGGCTTTTCACAGAACCTGTTCCTTTAAATTATGTTTTGTATGTTTTTATATTTGTTATTAATAGGAATGTCATACCAACAAAATAGTAAAGTTTTCCAGCACGCTGTTCATCATGTACTTCTCCGGTAAGTGCTTCAGCTTGTGAATAAAATTGATCATATATTCACACATGGGAGAGCGGTTTATCCTATACACGAATCGGCCATTTTCAAACCTTGCATATTCTGTCTGTAAGGACGAGAGAGGGAAGACATATAAACAATGAGATCCTCCGACAGTCACCACGTCCACATTATATTCAGCGCTGCACACATCATCATAACAGTAAATGTTTAGCACAGTGAAGCCTTTTAAAAAGGTACTCGAATGTCTCATTCCCACCCCATATCCCAAAAATAAGAGGGCAGGACAGTGGGCGGAGCTATGCAAATCACTGCTTTAAGCCCCATCAGCCAGATTAAGAGCTGCATACAGCTGTTTCAGTCTTTTTGGCCATCATCAGTGCAGTGTATGGAAATGCCTTCTATGGAGGAGGACTTAGAACCCAACAAGACCGCAGAACTATACAGGTTAGGATAAGACGGGAATCAAAAGCTAGCGCATAGCACAGTAAAGCCTTCATTGTACGGAAGATATTCACGTCTCATTCCATCACATATCACAAGAATGAGGAGGGTGCACAAGGAACACACACACGGCTCATTATGTTTAAAGTGGATGTGAACTGCTTGAAATGTTTTTGGTTTTGCCCCAATCTGCAAGTATACACAGCATACTGGCACATCAGGGGGCACTGACCTTAAAAGTGTGCCCTTCTCCAGTGTTGTGGGGTCCTCGTCCTTCAGCGCTGTTCCCTGACGCCACCATCTCTGCCACTGACACCTCCAGGTTATCAGAAGTCCTCTTTGGCCATTAGGTGGCCCATTGATGATGTCAATCTGGCACATAGGAGCTACATTGTCCCTGGCACCCGGCCCATTCCTGGCATCTTAGAGGTGCCATGAATGTGCTGAGTGGGTGCACTGTATGGCGCGTGCACTGTACACAGAGGATAACAAATGTCTGGGGGATAGAGGAAGAAGAGACTTTGCACGTCTCCTGACCTCCCAGCAATCTTTATTTTGTCCAGGGGCGTCACGAGGCTGGGTGACACCCGGAGCGGTAACCGAGTGTCACCCCGCCGTGACGTCATCACACACGCGCCGCAGTATTCGGATACCTGCCGACGGCCATCTTTGTGATGGACGCCGGCAGAGAGGGGAGAGAGAGGGGAGGACAGTCACCCGGCTGGATAAGATATGCCGCCGGGTCCCCTCTTGTCTCCTGATACTGTCGGTCGTTCGGTCCATGACCGAGCGCCCGACTTTTCAGAGGGGGGTGACACCAAAATGACTGAGTCATTTTGGTGTCACCCCTCCAATGGTGTCACCCGGGTGCGGGCCGCACCCCCCTTGTGACGCCACTGATTTTGTCTCCTTTACGTTTGCATTAAACCTTCCGTCCCAGAAAATTGTAAAAACAACAAATAAAAACACTTCTCCTTGTATTGCTACATTGTTTCATGTCAAAAAGGAAAATATTGTTAAGCGGGAATATCTGGGAGTACGCTCAATCATGTGCAAAGTAGCTGTGACCGTGCTGTCACCAGCACCTTCCAGTCACACAGCAATGATTGGGAGCCACTGATCACATGATCACTGTGACAGCCAATCACAGTGATGACATGATTCAGAAGCCCAGGAAATGCCTTTGATGTCCAGCGCCTCTTGAATGGGCAGCAGGAACAGGAAAGTGTTTCCACAAAAACGTCTGCTGTGCACAATCTTTAGTGGGAATGACAGGTTCTCTTTTTCGTGTAACAATGTATTCCGGGGCAGGTCTGTGTGTGAATTCGGGAATGTCATACCTCCACTTTCTCTACCACTTGTTTCCCAAACGAACAGACTTTAGTTGAGCAGGTGATGGTCATGTTCTCCGAGCTCTCGTACTGACTCGTTACCCCGTAGAATGCCCCGGCATCGTCGTGGATATTACAGTTCAGGTCGGCCTGTTGGAGGAGATGAGAAGTCACGCTCGGTAACAATGTATCAATGTCTGTGATTAGCGTTTCAGATCGTTACAATCGTTCACATCAGGATCCCACACTACTGACAAATCCCGAGCTAAAACCATACTGCACATTCTGGCGGCCTCTTTATGTTCTCATTGGAGGCGGCACCACTGTAATAGCACAGACGTGCAGATGGGCGAGTATCATACAGTTCCAAACATTACCGTACAGTCTATGCAGAGCTGTTATCTTTCAGTATGGTGTATGGACAAACTATCAATTCTCTCCCCCACTGCCAACACCCAATTGCAACTCTGGGCGCCCCTGTGACCTATCCCTGGGTCTCAGAGTTGTCTGATGCCAATACCAATGGCAACTTTTTGTATGGGGGATTCCAGACATCCGGTCACGCTCACAGGGCAGCTATGATTGGGCACGTCATGGTGCGTGATCACTTTTGGTACAAGGCCTGCTATTGATTTATTTAAAGCTACAGCGTGCGTGGCCATTCATATCTGTATGCAGCGCTCGCAAACCGGAGCTGGCCTTAGCAAGAAAAAACTCAGAGCTATGCAGGAACCCGCTTTTGGGGTTCGCCCCCCTTTCCCTGCGGTGAGGCCCAGTGACGTCATCCTCGCCAAGGCAAAGGTCGCTGGAAGCCGTGTGTAAGGCGAGTACTTGTTCTAAAATGTTTATTTATTGCTTTCACTTTGTACATGGGTCAGGGACTGCAAGAGACGGACCTCACATTTTCATGGTCTCTTCCAAGTTAGTTGACACTTCTGCCTTGCAGCACTGGGGTCCCCGGTTCGAATCCCGTCTGGAACCCCATCTGCATGTGCTTGAGTGACTTTCTTCCGGGTACTCCGGTTGCCTCCCAAACCCCTAAAGACATGCTGGTAGGTCAATCTTTCAGATTGCAAGCCCTCAGGTGCAGGGCCCTCCTTACCATCTTGTCTTGAATTGTATTGTAATGTCTTCCTTACATTGTAAAAACTGTTGGCGCGATATAAATACTGAATAATAAATACTGAATAATAAAAATAATTGGCCCTAGCATACGTCTGTGTCAGATAGGCCCTTATATTACAGGCTCCTTGAGCCTTGCATATGTACAATATGTAAACTATTGGGGCTATATATATATATATAGAGAGAGAGAGAGAGAGGGGGAAATTTATCAGAATCTGGAGCAGTTGCCCATAGTAACCAATCAGCTTCTCTCCAGTTTGTTCAGCTAAGCCTTGAAAATGAAAGATTGGTGCCGATTGGTTGTCATGGGAAACTGCTCCAGAATCTGTCTGTTCTGGTTGTGATAAATTCCCCCCAGAGTATATTAGATACTAATACTAGCTGATATATTAAAAAAAAACATGCATTTACTTTTGTTTTGTACTGGATATGCAGTTGGTTTAAGTGGTTATGTCACTTTATATCACCTAAGAATACCAATCACTTTAATCTCTCTGCATGTAGCTGTGTTGTAGTACCGGAAGCCTGGCCAGCAGGGGGCGCTGTGTGACTGGATAATACATTAGTGTACACAGCAATTACTGCTTGTTAGATGAAGATTATCATTGGAGAATATTGTACATTGCTTATAACATGTTGAAAGTCCAGCAATAGAGTAAAGATTGTAAGGTGTCCGTGCACTTAGTAGCTAGAAAGATCCGGTATCTCTTAAAGGATTCTAAGGAGCAAGAAATTCTAGTTTGGTGCGAGCCGACAGTGTCAAGTAAACCCATCACAGGCCTGAACTTCACTGCGCTGTTCTGTTGCACATAACACACAATTACACAATTGGATGCACAAGTACTTCTTTCAAGGGCTTGTTCACACCAAACTGCAGACCAGATCTGCATGAGTTTCTGCACATGCAGTGCAGTGCGTTTTGCTGCATTCCAGGCCGTTTTTGCCGCGGCTCCAAACCGGTGGAAGGGGCAGCCGCTCCAAACCGGTGGAAGGGGCAGCCGCTCCAAACCGGTGGAAGGGGCAGCGGTTCCATGCTCCCCCTTCACTCGGGAAGCTGCCCAATCAGAAAGCTGGGCGCCGTGTAGTGACGCGGCACCTGGCTTTTCGATTGGACGGGAAGCCAGCTTCATGCTCCCAGAAAGCCGGCTCCATGCCTGCTTGTCACCTAGTGACAGCTTCCCTGCTAATCAGGAAGCCAGGTGGCGAGTCATTACACACCGTCTGGCTACCTGAATGGGACTTCCGGTATTGGCGAGTACCCCAGAAAAAAGATCGGTACTCGATACCAAAATACCGGTATCGGTACATCCCTACCGAGGACCCCCCAGTACAGAAGTGCTGACCACCTAGCCACTGTATAATATTGTTCCCATTGCTCATTTGACTTTAAAGGAGAACTATGAGGGGGGAGGGGGGGGGGGGGTTTTTCACTCACCTCATAGTTCTAGCCGACCTGTGACAATGAGACTGTCACAGGTCGGCTCAGTAGATCGGGAAGTGAGCGAACACATACCGTCGCTCGCTCACTTCTCGATCCTGTCACGGCAGGGGAGGGGCTAGATTCCCCCCTCCCCGCTCCGATCCGCCAGCGCTGACTGGCGGGACGGACGGGGGAGGGTACAGCTGGCTCTAGATAGGCAGAGTCAGCTGTCAGTCACGCAGCTGGGCGGATCCCGGCACAAATGTCGGGATCCACTTCAGCTGCGGCGCTCCTGAAAAAGTGAGCTGTAGCCCCCTATATACTGAGCCTAGGGTGACGGGGGGACGCTAGTTTGTGTCCTCCCGTTACCCTGAGGAGAACTAGGGGGAAAAGCCCTAACCCCATAGTTCTCCTTTAAGATACAAACCTTGTTTTTTTGTATTTGCGCCCCATCCTGAATAAGAGATTTTCACTCATAGGACACAAAAGCCAAAAGTGGGCTAAAAATACCCCAAGTTGGCTGGAAGCGGTGGTGGGATTTCTCATGCTGTGGTGAATGTCGTACACAATGGAGGCCCGTGCGCCCGAGCCATAGGACTGCGCGCTGTACGTCTCGCCTATGGCCCAATTACTGTCCTCTGCCATTACCGGGTAATTGCGGCACAGTCACATCTCCCACTTCTTTTGATACGAAGACACTTTACAGGGAGACAGCTGATGGGCAATTTATACCGACAGAAATGGAACACCATTTAAAATGTGTTAGATTCTTCCATGCTTAAGACATATTGATTGATGGCGCTGCCCACGGCGTTTATAAAACACACATCTGGCGACCTGTAGAGCGCGGCCGGGCGAGGAGGAATCGGGTGATAATGACCGTTCTAACAGAGAGAGCCGGGACGTAGTGGACCCCGCACACCTCCGCTGATGGGTTCTGCTCTCCCGAATATCGTTCAGACACTTCAAGGTTGGTAGTACGGCGGCCATAGCGCCACCTACCAATGCATTCATTACATACATGACCACTGACCTCCGGACAGAAAATCGGACGAGGCATTTACCGACGCAGCCATGTATTTTTGTATTGTACTGCAAGCAGTTTCAGCTTGGCGTCGGCTTCATGCACAGCAGAGCTCAGACTGCGGGAGGCAATCTGGTTGTGCTGCAGTATTAGACGCATGCAAATAGGAGGAGAGAGAGGAGCTTGTTATTTTGCTGCTTCTCCTTTCACAGGCTTGGGGAGGGACCAGACCTGTAACGGTAGCTTGACTTCAGCAGAACAAAAACGGGTCTCCTCGCCTGCTAGGCAGAGCAGCGTAAATCTCATGACTGGATGGACACAAATCCTTTGGTAGCTATAAAAGCTCTGATGAATTTAGTTAGTCTCTGTGCTGAGCCGTTTGCCTGGGATTAAGCGTTAAGGTTAAGTGCAGTTTAATTCCCCCCTCCCCTCCTTCCCTGACCTAACCCACCCTCCTTACATTGATCTGGTGGTGGCAGCACCCGCTGTTTGTTTACATCCATTGGCGTAAGACTCCATGCCCATGTCTGCACATTAAATCCCCATAGACGTCTACAGAGCGTTGCCCTGAGGCCAGAGACAGTCCTGTAGAATGGCGCGGCCAGGACAGTGAAGACGCGCACTGCTGGACGTAAACAAACACCGGAGGCAGCAGCCGTCGGATCAATGCAAGTATGCAAGGGGTGGGTTAGGTTAGTTCAGGGGGCGGGGCCAGAAAGAATACGTTTGCATGAGATTGCAGTTTGTCTTAAAAAACATTAAAAAAAAAAGAAACAGAATGGATTCTGAACTTTTTGTTTATGAAGAGGGCGAGGCCTACGTCACAAACTTCCTACAAGTATCCCTACCCTGTGCTGGTTTCCTGCTCCATAGCTCCTCCCACATCCCCATCACATGAAGCGCCGTCCTTCACGAACAAGTCATTGCCTTCCAGGAGATCAATATACTCCGTAGCTGGAGGACTCCGTTACATCCAACACAGCTGGAAGAGGACTGTCGGGGTGTATGTGGCACGTCAGTATGAGGATCGGTTTTATTTTGATGTATTAACATTACTGCCCCTAG